TACCAAAACCTTGCCACACAAACCCAACATAGTGCTACTTTTGGTGCACCTTCAGTCACATTAATCATAACATCCCTATTACTTCAGTGTGTACCTCCAGACAAAATGACAGCTGTTGTCCTAGAAAAATGTTACAAATGTCTGTATTCAGGATGGCTTTGTATGGTGTATTTATTAAAAAATGAAATTGCAAATGTATTAACATGTTGAAAACATTTAATTTTTTTAAGGGTAGGTAATTATACTTACAAATTATTTTAAAATATTTTTCTAGTATCCCTTTGAAAGAGCAGACAAATTCAACCGTGGCATCAGAAAACTTGGAATAACCCCGGATGGCCAGAGCTATCTTGACCAGTTCAGACAACTCATAAGTCAAATTGGTACGAAATGCAATCTAACACAATGTTACAAAAGTTATTAAATGAAACACGTCTTCATAGTCTAGTAGCTGGCTAAAACTAGATTTAACTCTAGTCAGATGGAAAGTACTTCACTTGTATTCTACATGAATGCTCTCACCTAATTACACAGAAATGGACCTTGTATGTCTGGATCTAAAATAGAGCTACAGCTTGCATAGATGCCTGTTCCCTTTTAAGTTCATCTTTTCTTTGTTACGGAAGTGACTTTGAGTGTATTTCCCAGTAGAAAATAGTACTCTTAAGTTTATGTATTCCAGAAAAAGACCATCTATCCAGGTACGTTAACTTTGAGCAATGCATGACGTTACAATGGTATTATCAGCTGTTGATGCTGTAGATGTGCGGGACTGACCTGAAGTGTTTGTGTCCAGTGAAACGAGTTTGTACTATTTGGCCCTTAAGCTGTCATGAAAGTGAACATACACTTGCTAGATGATGCATTTGTGTTTTATTTCTCTGCATAGACTTTGATACCAGGGTTTAACGTAACTTTTTTTAACTTGTCTTTCAGAACAGTTTCTTTGCCAAAACTATATGCCAACTTCAATGTACATTTCAGGGTTTATAGGAGTTATGAAGAGTGTGTGTATAGATTTAAATAATTATAACTTATTTCCTTGTTTTTTTCTTTTCTTTTTTTTTTTTAAAGGCAACGCTATGGGCTATGTACGAATGATAAGATCCGGTGGACTTCACTGCTGTAGTAGTGCAATTAGGTACTTCCACAAATATTTCATTTTTCTGTTTGCTGCTTCTCATTCCTTTGCTCCCTATTCACGCTGATATTCCCTTGGTTCTTACCCATCTCCCATAAATTTTTGATTAATTTTTATGTCTTCATTGAATTGGATTTATCAAAAACAGTGCTGGAATTCAGAACTGTACAATCATTGCCATAAAGCAACAAAAATAAATTCTATGGAGAGAACACTGCAAAAGAGTTAATAGAATAAACATCTAAATCATTGGTCCTTAATTAAGTCAGTAATTCCTGATGTTAATCACTTCGAGAGGTTGCATTAAGGAAAAAACAGTATAAGCCTTGAGGAACTCGAAAAAACATTTCTTTGATACTTCTTTTTGTATGGATGATTGGGTTTTATATAAGGTCATTAAAACACAGTGATTTACAAAGAAATAGTTGGTTTTCTTGCAAATAATAGTAAACTTACAGTTAGCAAGTGCTAGAGACAGGAGATGATATACCTTTAAGTAATTCAAGCCCAGAAAACTAAATGAACTAAATTATAAATTATGGTGGATACATCAGTGAACATAAACAGTTGAGCATAACACTAACAAATAGTAAGTTTTCAGGTTTGTTCCTGATCTGGAAGATATTGTTAACTTTGAAGAGCTGGTGAAAGAAGAAGGACTTTCAGAAGAAACACAAAAAGCAGCAAGGTACTCTAATATCATGCTTTTGAGGTCTGGGGCAGGGACGGGATGAGAGAATTGTAATTTCAAAGTTGTAAATGAGCTGTGAGTTGCATTTGTGTGTGTGTTTTAAAAGTTCAACTGATCTTATGTAAAAATACTTGATGCTCTTAAAAGTAGTGAAAATAAAGTAGTTGTTTAAAAAATGCTGAATACAAAGTGGTGTTTCCAGACATTCAGATGGGACATTACAAAAAAGCTCTTCACTGAGAGGGTGGTCGGTCACTGGAACAGGCTGCCCAGGGAAGTGGTCATGGCACCAAGCCTGTCAGAGTTCAAGGAGCATCTGGGACGACGTTCTTAGTTACATGGTTTAGTTTTAGGTAGTCCTGTGAGGAGCAGGTAGTTGGACTTGATCCTTGTGGGTCCCTTCCAACTTGAGATATTCTATGATTCTATGACTTGTACTACTAGACTGTTAGAACCTGGCTTCTTGATAAAATCCTTGTGGTTTAAAGGCTAACAAGCTTTCCTCACCACATGTCTGACATCTACTTTTAGAATGTTCAGGGCCTTAAAGTATTCATAAACCTTTTTTTGAGGAAATTAAGAAACATGATTCAAGGTGGCTGCAGAGGTAGGATGTAATCTTGGACACTCTGGTCTGATTACTGGATTGTAGGTGCAGCCAAAGAGTGAAGAGAGGGTTGTTACCCTGAAGGGCGAGTAAGCAAGGAAACTTCTAGCAGAAACCAGGTAACATGTTGCTTATCCTTTGCAGGCAGTTGGACTCTGTCCTCAGTGACCTCACGCGCAACTTTGCAGAAGGAACGGAGTACTTCAAAATGCTTGTGGATGTATTTGCTCCTGAATTCCGCAGCCCAAAGAATATGCATTTGCGGAACTTCTATATAATTGTTCCCCCACTGGTTAGTATTTGCATGGTTTGTACCAGTATTATTTTTAAAAATTTAGCAGATCAGGTTTGTGATTAAGTATTCTACATTAGGCTGTTGATTACCATGTTCTGCTTTCTTCCCTGGTTATGAGTGGGATTGCTTTGAGTGTGGCTGCTTTGTTAGTTTGTTTTTCTTTGTTTACATCAACTCCTGTACTAGCACTCAAAAGGTAACTTTAAAAACTACTTCTCCTCTTTGAATCAAATTTGGGGAAGCCAAGATAAAAAAGGAGGAATTGGAACAGCAAGGATGAAGGGAGTTTAAAACCACGTTCTTCAGCTCTCTCATGTGTGCTCTTTCCACAGCACGTTAGGTATCTGTAGGCTCTTTTAATGTCATATTCTAATGGAGTATAATTAGGGCTCTCTCTATTCCAGTTGGATCTGTTTTTGCTAATGAGTTTTGTTTAGAAAGAGTCCAACTGAATTGAGGTGATGCAGACTTGAGTGCAGCATTCTGGGCATTTTAGAAGCAGTTCACTTTGAAGGCCTAAATGATTCATGTGTAACATCCTGTTTTAGAAACTAATTTCAGAATTGTCGACGAGCAATAAACTTAAGACTGAGAGGACAGGTATGTCATGGTGATAGAAGTGAGGGAAAGTAAAGGCTTATGACATATTTTTGTTCTTTTTCCTTCCCATGTGTGGAGTTTTTTCTGATAAATAGAGTTTCAGGAGTATGCCATCCATTTTAATTTTTTAAAGGCATTTCACTGTAGTTAAATTTGAAAGTGTGTCATAGGTTTTTGAAAAGTTGTTAATGTACGCACATTTCCATGTCTCGAGTAGTTATTGCATACAAACACATACCCATTGCTCGATATTACCACCTGGATCTATTGTTCAACATCATTATAAATGTAAGACTTGAAATATTTTTACAATTTTCTACATAGTGAAATAACACACTGTGGCTTTAAAACACTGATCTCTTTAAACTTTCCAGGAACCTGGGCTTTTAATTATCCTGTACTTATTAACATGTTTACCTTTAGTAATCACCAAGAGAATGTGAAGTAATAGAATCTGACAAGAACAGTGAAGATGTACCTTTGGTTTTTATGTATGCATATGCAATTGTTTTCCAAAGCTTAACTTAATTTCTTCTCAAAAAAATCTAGAAAAAGGACAAATTTTCATACAAAAATGCATAATGATGGGAGACACAATTAGCATAGATTTGGATGTGGAATTATATTCATAGGTAACAGCATGCACGTGGATACCTTTTAAAATTTCTAAGTCTCTCTTGATGATTCCAAGATGGCTTTTCACTCTTTCAGACCCTCAATTTTGTGGAGCATTCAATCAGTTGTAAGGAGAAATTGAATAAGAAGAATAAAAGTGGAGCAGCTTTCACTGATGATGGGTTTGCCATGGGTAAGTTTCAGTATGCTGACTAGCCTTTGGGTAAGCCAATATAATGGATATTTGCAAGAACAGTTTTGTTTGTTTTGTGTGTTCCCATAATTAAAAATTCCTTAACTTTAAATTTGGGTTGTCTTGGCTTCAGCACAATGGATTTGAGGGCTCTTGTTTTGTTCAGAATCTCCTAAGCATGGAATAGCTGAGTATGGGAGCAGACAGTTTTGGTGTATGTTGGTGCTCCCCAATTTTTTTCAAAGCTTGCGGATCTCAGCAGATGAGAAGGTATGCAAGTCTTTGGATAAAGTATGAGGTTTTTGAAAATTGAGGCTTGTTCTTTATCCTGACTTCTTCCTATTAGATTCAATTATAAATTAATTGTGATTTAAATTTTAATTATCAACTTAGGCTGATCCATTAAACACATACACAAAATGTTTTATCAATTACATGTTGACTGTGGTACATGGTTTGTTAATGACTACAGGTGTGGCTTACATTCTGAAGCTTTTGGATCAGTACCAAGAGTTTGATTCTCTGCACTGGTTCCAGTCTGTTAGAGAGAAGTACGTGAAGGAAATAAGAGCAGTAGCTAAGCAACAGAATGTGCAGTCCACTAATCAAGATGAAAAACTACTGCAAACTATGAACCTTACACACAAGAGACTGGAAGTTTGTTTACAGGTATAGCATGGATCTAGTTATCTGTTCTGTATTGAGTTCTGCACTTAACCATCACAGTTCAGGTATCTGTTTGCTGACAAAGCTTATCAAGAATGAAAAAAACCAAACCCAAAACGTAGAGCACTGGCTACACCAATAATGCGAGAAGTATAAAGACTTGAGGTGTGTGATCTGAAGGGGATGTTGTAAGTGTTTAATATTTGAGTGAGTTAGGAATTTGACTGGGTTGATTGGGAAGTCTTTGTCCCATGGGGTTTGAAATGTAATGCAACTGAAACCGGAATGCTTAAATAGGAGAGAATAACTTTTTGGTTCAATTTTTTATAATAAAGATTTTACATAAGACTGTGAACCCTGAGAGTTGCTTGGGTGTTAATTCTGAGTTGCTAAGTTGAATAATTCACCAGCTGCCAAATATTCATTGGCTACTTAATTTATTGGCTTGCATGATTTTCCATGGGCAAGTTGCTCCAAATTCTCACTGCTGCTGCAAACCTCGTGTTCAGCCTCGGTGGATTAGGGACAGATTTATTGCACCGATGGTGCTTTGCTTGAATTATCCTTTGAAGTTTTTTGGCTGATGTTTGCTTTGTAAAATGCATGTGAACAAGGTATGAATGGAGGAAGATTTTCAAAAGCATTTAAGTGGTTTAGATATTGAAATCTAATTGCCTTAAATGCTTCTGAAAAATCCCATTTAGATCTGCCTACAAATTCATTCTTGTAATGCACTGACACTCCTCTTCTGTATCGTTTCTCTTAGGAATTTGAACTCCTTTATTTCTCACTAAGTAGTGCAAGAATTTTTTTCAGAGCAGATAAAACTGCAGCAGAAGAAAACCAGGAAAAGAAAGAAAAAGAAGGTGAGTGAATGCTATACATAGAACATTTTGGCTCATGAGAGAGTG